ATTCTTCCCGACGCAGGGCTGGGCATGGCCACCTTCTGAGCTGCGGCGAGGACACAAGCACAAAAGCATCCGCCCCTTGATCCAGCGTTCTCGAGCATCCACAGGTGGGTGAGTGACGATGGTCTGGCAACTCGCCCCCACTCCGTCCTGCACAGAGTGCACGCGTGCTGTTCTTCGCCCGTTTTCCCGTTGTCCTTTGTGTGTAGTCGAATCCGGGCCGGGAGCACCGTGCCACGCCCCACATGGATCCACTCGCGCTCATTGGGCTTGTTCCTGTAGTGGGGTCCAGTGCGTCGGTAGTACTGGAAGGTTATCGCCCAGTTGCGCTTCCCGGAAAAGAAGCTTTTGAGGTCAACCGGCACAAACTTGATGGGAAGGGTGACCCTGTGGTCATACTCCGCCCGCATCCTCAGCCTTTCCAGCGAGTCCACCACTGCGGCGTCCGGAAGGTCCTCCAACAAGATGGGGCAAAAAAATCATGAAGTGGACCTCAAACGCCACGCGCCGCACGATGTTGGCATAGTCGGCCGGGCCCGTCGGAGCGTGATACCCTCTGGCTTCCACCCAAGCAGCAGCTTTAAGGTCCAGCTCCGACAGGGTGGGGATCCTGCAAAGGATCGCGAGGTCCATCAAGGCCGCATCCGGGCCAGCCCGCACCCGCACACGCATGCGCCTGCGGGAAGAGGTCCAAAATGCACCTTCTTCTGGATCGCTGCGGTGGGCCTCCTCGACGTAGAGCCACTTGTCCATGCCAAAGAGGCTCTTCTCCGATCCTGTGTCATCCATCCCTGGGATCAGCCATGAGTCCCCAGACCTGAGCAGGTCATCCAGTCAGTGGAAGCAGCCGTCCTGCCCCGAGGCCACCAAGGTCAGCCGAATCCACTTCCATCCCCCCAGTCCAGAAACAAGCTTCTCTTGCACGGCTTCCGCATATGCCAGACGACGGGCGTCATGCTTGGCATCAGCTGCCATGTCCAAAGCTCGTTCCATAGCCGAGAAAGGAAAACAACCACAACAATGCGAGGCTTGAACCGAGCCAAAATGGCCCCGAGTAACAAGTTCAGACTGGTCCGAGCACAGCGCAGGCAGCGGGAGTCAACAGCACTTGGCACCATGACATCCTAGTTAACCCAAACAAGTTAGGACAACATAAGAAAAGTAGAGAATAGGAGTGTCGCATCGCTGAGGGCTCAACATCAACATCTTTGGGCGGGTGAGATGGGCTCACATTCTGCTGTCAATGAAAGAGACCCCCGCTTTGCGCCCATCCAGCTCAAGCAAACCAAATTAGAGCGAAAGAATTCTCAGATCTCGTCTGCTTTGCTAGGCTCATTTCTTTGCAGCCAAAAGAATGGGACCCTGAACGTGTGCTGTCTGTTTGGCTCCTCTTCAGGGACCCCCGGACATTTTCCACATGTGCTGCAGGGGGTCGTTGGCGAGGACTGTCACGAAAATGTGCTGTACAACACTGGGAACATCCGGCTGAATATTGGCAATGGCTCATGGTCCTTCCAAACCGAAAGCCATTTGCCAGGCTGCGTCCGGTGCATCTGGCACCGGGCGCTGCGACGCCATACCTGGCCATCACTAGCGAAGAAGTTGGGAATGTTTTTCCATAGCAGCCCAAGGTAGGCTGTTTATTCCACGCTATGCCACCCTGCAACAGTAGCCATAGCCAAGTCCTGTGTTTCTCCACACCATCAGACCTTACCACAGTCGCGCTCAACGATTTCGCGACACCACCCTTTCTACCCACAGTCAAGGTCAGTGTTTTTTCAAACTCGCCCCACCAAACTTTCCCCACTTTTCCTTTGCTCTTGCTTGCCCTCCCTCCCCCAGCTTTCATTCACGGGGTGCACGCACTTCTCTTGTTCTTTTCGCTTGATTTTCTCACCGCTCTCCTCCCGGCTCCCTTCTTTCCTAGCTTTCTCCCCCCGCCATGCTTGGTAGCCAGCGCCTAGGCAAGGGTCTGCCCCGACACCATGTTCATCAAGTCTCCTTTGATGTTGTGTGAAGCAACATTAGTTGCCCAGTTGAAGCTATCTTCAGTGGTTTCTGTGTAGCTCACCATGTCTTACCGTTTCTGCTTTGTTCGCACTTTTGGAAGGCAGCCGAGGATTTTGCGCTTGAATTTGGCCGCAACCTGGATGGCAGTTGCAGCGGGTGCCTTACCGACCTTTTGTTTGCTCTGGTACTTTTCCTGAGAACCAGGCACGTAGTGCACGTTTTTTCCACGGCGGTACCTTCCAGCCGGCGAAGATTGTTGAAGCTAGAATTTATCCGCCGTGGCCCCTGGCGCGGTGGCTTCGCCGAGGCTAAGTCACGGTTTTCTGGGGCTTGTTTCGGGCTTTTTGTTTGCTTCGGGGCTGGTTCGGACCCCCTTGTGCTGAGGCCACCGCTTAGGCGGGCTTCGTGGTGGCTGTTTGTTTTCACCGCTTAAGTTGTCATGAGGACCCTTGAGTCTACACAGAAACCAAAGGCCGCTCCAGTGAAGCCAGGC